TTTTGAGGGCCAGTTCTGAACCCTGGGGGCTGTCCTTAGCCTGAACCAACCTCAAAATTGTGGAGGATAAAAGGAATTGGTTGCCCTTAGTGAGAGCAGATTATAGTGGTCCTTGCTAAGGGATGGGAGAGTTTGGGTCTGACTACGGGGAGCGGGTAACAGTACCCAGGCCAGCTTCTCTCAGCGCTGTGTTTCTATTCTATGATGTCTGGCTCTACCTATAACCCCAGAACCATCTTTTCTCTCTGGTTCCTCTCCCTCCCTTGCGTCTCACTATTATTAGCCCTTGGAACATGTTTGTTTGCCTGAAGTCATGGACACACACTCTTGTGTCATCACAGCACGTGCTTAGAGATCTGGAGAAGAAGCAGAGGCAAGAGTCTGGGCCCTGGAGTTCTTTTCTTTAGTAACCACCATGGATGCCTGGGAGCCCAGCCCGTCAAGTCTGTGACAAGCTCTGGACTTTGAGGCTCTCGTTTTACAATGATCTCATTTTACAGATACAGAGACTGAGACTCAGAGGTGGAGAGTAACCATCTTCCCCAAACTCTACAGCTGGTTAGCTAGTCCAGAGTTTTTGCACAGTGCCCTGTCTCCCTGCTTCTCTTTCCAGCACGTTTTTCAGTTGAATACAAATATTTCAGTAGAAATTACTCAGTGGAAGGCACAGAGCTTTTGTACATTGTCAGGGTCCCAAGTTGAGTTATATTAAATAATTTTCTTTTGGAAACTATTTGGGCATTCTGGATTAGTTTCATCTTAAAGGCTTTATTTAGTGTAACATAATACAACATGATATAGTATAATGATATTTTGTTCTAAATAAAATTGTTAAATAATGCACACATATAAACGTGTATTAATAATAAAAGAAATAAACATGTATCTTCTAAATCCTTCAGAGCTAGGCTTTCCAACTGAATGACAATATTAAGCACAAGCTTATTAAGGATTTTTCTTTAAGGATTCAGCATGCATCAACAACGAATTGATACTTGGCGGAAATTCCATCAGTAGCCAAGATTTGTTCTGCTGTTTCATTCCACTTAGATCAGTGATCCTAACAGCCACTGGCACCTGCCATCAGGACAAGCAGAAGCGACCGGAGGAGAGGAGGGTCAGGTCATCGGAAGTCTCTCAAGACCCTAAGAACAGCTGGGCAGGATCACAATCCCCCCTCACTGTCTGCCCGCCCCTCCAGTGCCTCAGACTGTCCCCCAGCACTCTTCTGACCTGGCCAGATTTAATTCTTAAGTTGACATTGCCATTGCCAGCATGGAACGTTCTATCCAGTTAAACCCACAGCAGTTCACGGAAAAGTTGTGGACAAACAAGGCTGAATGAAGACATTTCTTCCTGGCAGGTTTTCTTGAGCCTGTTGCCCGAATTCATGTCCACCTTTCCTGAATAGGTAGGGTTGTGGGCTAATGTGGGATCAGGGACACAGTGAGCTTACCCAATAAGAGAATCATTCTAGCTGCCCAAAGATGTTTGAATGTGAACATTGTAACAAATGTGGGCCTTAATCCAGTCTGTAAGGCAAGAGGATAAAATTTTAAGCTAAAATTAATGTTTTAATTCTCTTTTGGGAAACCTGTTATACGTAAGTCCAGCATGAATAAGATAAAAGAGAGAAAAGGAACTATTCAGAGTTAAATATAAGACAAGATGACAATTGAGAAAAATAAAACCTATTTTTCACGCATCCTCTGGTACTCTTTCCTTCCCATTAGCATTTTCAGTGCTGTGACTCCACAAAGACAAATGTATGGGTAGCTAACACATTATTTGGTGGTGGTGGGAGTACTGGGGTAGGGGGCAGGGGGAGTAAGAGCTAAAGTTTTCTCCTGATTATAAAAGTAATAAGATCTTGCTGTCGTAATCTAGAAAGTACCAAAAATGTAACAGGAGGAGAAAAATAAACTGTCCCTAATGTTATCATTCTGGTATTTCTCCTTCTAGATCATACTGAATGTACCATTTTACATAGCCTTTTTTTCTACACAAAGTATTTAAAATGTCTTATTTGAAAGCTGATATTTAAATCTATTGTGTGCATGCCTCATGTTTTTCTTCTTTGTTCTCATTGTCATCCTTCCTTTTTAAAAATATTTTAAAACTGTTATAAAGAACTCTGAAATGAACATCTTTGTGCGTCTAGTTTTTTCTGTTAGGAAAGATTCCCAGAAGTGAGACTTTTGAATTAAAACGTATAGGCATTTCTTAGGCTCTCTGTCTATTGCAAAATTTCTTTCCCAGCAGAAGATTGTATCTCAGAGTTCCTCTTGTAGTGTATGAAAGTATGAGTTTTGTACATACTTGTAGGCCTTGAGCATTTTCTCTTTTTGTTTTAAAGACGGATATGATAAAATAATAATTAAAAGTACATGGTTGCTGCGTTTCTTTATGTATATATTTGATTATTAATAAAGTTGAACATTTTAATTCAATATATATTAGCCATAAGGGCAGAGACTGTGTCTATTTTTCTTATTGCTGAATCCCTAGTGCTGAGAAGAGTGTCTGACATACAGAAGGCACCCAATAAATACTTTTAAAAATATATTTCTAACTTATAACCTTTGCTCACTTATCCATTCAGAAGTAATGTTTTTAATGATCAGATATTTGAAAATGATAAAATCCTATGGTGGGAAGTCTACGATTTTATAACCCAGTTATAAAAAGTAGCCTGCAAGTTACATTCCCACGTGTGTGATATTGGCTTATGTTTCTAATTTTGGAATATTTATATAGTCTTGAGGACAGAATCATGGAAAAGCAGTCACTAAAATGAATTTGTATCCTGGCTTGACCAAGAGTTAACCACGTGACTGAATAAGTTCTGTAAGTTTTTAATACCTCCTCTGTAAATCAAAGCAAAATAAAAGTCAACAAATGTGTCCTTTTTTATTTTATGGGACCGTTGAGACAATATAATGGGATAATTAAAGGTAATAGCTAAAGGTAAAAATTTTGAAATGCAAAACGTCATATGCAAATACAAGACCAAAGTACTAGTATTTCACTGTCAGAGTTTCTGTTCCAGGTCCCACTTTCTTCATTTATAAAAAGGGGGGAGGGCTGGGATTAGCATAATACCTAAGGTATAATAAATGTACAATATATATTAGTTGAATAACTTATTTCCAAAGTTCTTATTTTGACTCTATAATTCTGAAATGCCCCATAGGTTGAAAAAAAAGTAAGAAACATGGTTATGAAAAGTAAACCATTGCTCAAATATTTGAAGTAAAATCTGATTACAAAGAATTAACTCAGAATAAAGGTTTCCTTCTGATCATCCCCCGCCAAAGAAAGCTTTAATATAATATGCAGAGCAGTTGATAGTATATACATAGGGAATAACCCCAAAGGAGAGAGGATAATTCAGATAGTGAAGTCTTTATTTGCCCAATATTTGTTAGAGTAGCTAGCAAATTAGAAACAATTCAAATTCTCAAGAATAGGAGAATAGCTAAGCACACTAAATTATCTTAACATGATAGAACGCTCCTTAGTCAATGATGACAAATATATAATCTGTATCGTTATGTAAAAATGTGCATAGAAAGTAGTCGCAAGTGAAAAAATAGATCACAAAACACTATACACACTCAGGTTAGCGTTACATGAAAACATGTTGAAAACATATTTTTAAAGAAAAAAAAGAGCTTGCAATGAGGAAAGCAAACAGTACATGCCCATCAAATTCTCTTTTTTCCTCCAAATAAAATTACCCAGCTGTGTCACTTTTATAAAGTCAAAAGATTGCCATGAGTTTGCAGGATAGCTCAACAGTCTTATTCTAAATCATGATGGTTATAAAATATTGGTAGTTATATAACAAGCCAAAAGAGTTTCTCCACAAAAGATGCATCTTCTGTCCAGGCTTGTCCATTGCTTGACATTTCCTTTGACTAAATAATGATTAATAAGCTATATAAGCAGCATGTCAGGTACTTGTATTTGGTTGTGGATGGGGAAATTATTTATAGTTGCCTGAAGCCAGTGTGGCTTGACAATTTAGAATCAAAAAATTTCTTGAGATACAACTTTCCCAAACTGACACAAGATAAAACAGAAAATCTGAATAGCTCTATGTTCATTAGAGAAGCTGAATTTTTATATAAAATCTTTACACAAAGAAAACTCCAGGGCCAGATAATTTTGCTGCTAAATTCAGTCAAATGTTTAAGGAATAAATAACATCAATCTTAGATAAACTCTCCAAAAATTTGTTTTATGAAGCCAGCATACCTTGAAACCAAAACCTGATAAAGACATTAGAAATAAAATAAAATTACTGACCAATATCCTTCATGAACATTCTTAACTGAATTTTAATAAAGTTAATTCAGTAATATAAAAAAGAACAATACATTATGACCATGTGTAATTCAGGGTTCTCCAGAGAAACAGGACCAATGAGAAATATATAGATATATAAAAGAGGGGTGATAGCAGCACCCCTGCTTCCCAGTACCAAAGTCTGTATTAGTTTTCTATGGCTGTTATAACAAATCACTTCAAATTTAGTGGCTTAAACCAACCCAAGGTTATTATATTACAGTTCTGTAGGTCTCATGGGCTAACAGTAAGGAGTTGAAAATCAAGGCTACAACCCTTTCTGGAGGCTCTAGGTGACCAGAAGAAATGAAAGCAAACATCCACAAGAATAACAAAAACTTGTACAAGCAGCTTCAATCGAAATAGTCCCAAACTGGAAACAACCTAAATGTCCACCAACAGAAGAACAGATAAATAAAGTTGATACATTAACACAGAGAAATACTACAGCGAAATAAAAAGGAAACAAACTACTAAATAGGCAACAATATGGATGAATCTCAAAAGCATTCTGCTGAGTGAAAGAAGCCTTATACATCTAGTATGTACTAGATGATTCTATCTATATGAAGTTCTAAAACAGGGAAAACTATTCCATGGTGAAAAAAAATCCAAAGAGTGATTAAATGGGAGTGGGGAAGTAGCAGCAGGGATTGACTGGAACAGGACAAGAGGGAATTTTCTGCAATGATGGTAATGTTCTGTATTTTGATGATTATTCAGATACACAGCTACAGGCACTTGTCAAAACTTATCAGATAAAATCCTTAAGATTTACATATTTCAATGTATATAAGTTTTACCCAAAAAATTCCATAACGAGCTGAAAATATAGAACTCCAGCTATTACATGCATAGTGACATATTTATAAGAGGGTATACTACCATTTACAACTTGCTTTTTCATTAAAAAAATAAACTAGATTGATGGATGGATAGAAGGACGAACAGATGGATAGTTATGTGATAAAGCAAATATAACAAAATACTAATTGTAGACTCTATCGAGGAGTACACAGGTATTTGCTGTAAAACTCTTTTTAACTTTCTCTGTATATTTGAAATTTTTCATAATAAAATATTGGAGGGAAAAAGGCTACCATTCTCTGTCCTTCTGGTTGGACCACACTAATAGTGAGAATCCAATCAAAGCTTACAAAGATCTTTCCACAGACTGCCATGTCTTCCCAACTCCTATAGAGCACACATTTATTAAAAACAAACTTCAAAGATTTCTACAAGGTAGTCTGAAGTTAGGGAAAAAATTCACTAAACTTTTCAGAAAATGACATTTGTTCCTGGAAGGACAGGTACTGAACAGTTAGTGCCATTAATGTGAAATTATTAGTGGTAGCAATATCTTTAGAATTTTCTGTATCTGCAGCTCAATAGTTGGATGGCTGGTTCTAAATAGAGCAACTTGTTACCTAAAATGATAAACCATAAAAAATCAAGTCGCAAGTAAAGACACGACTTTCAAAAATAGTGCTAACATTTGAGAATTTTAAACACTAAGTTTTAATACTATATACTTGTGTGTGTGTGTATGCTTTTATCCTTTAAGTTTAATTTTCTGCTGATTAGAAATAAGTAAAAATTAGCATCTATAGTAAGATAAGATTTTTAAACTACTGTAGCAAATTAACTCTTCATAGTACTACTAAAATTTTTAAAGCCCCCCAGCACTAAATAGCTCTAGGTTGATTAAAGCCATATTTAATTCTCATTCTCACAAATGAAATCATTTTCTATTCACAAAAAAGAATATGCTTTAAACTAAAAGGTGATTGCGTTTGCAAAGCACTTTAAAAAATGGGAGACTTAAATGATTATTAATTAGAGCAAGTTATTGTTTGACACTTTCTTTCTGGTGGTTCTTTTAGATATTTAAATTTATTGCTTTCCAATTACACAATTTATAAGAGGGAGTGAGGTTCAGCTCTTTTCCTGTTGAAACACTCAATGTGGTTTGAAAGGCAAAGGACAGAAATGATGAGCTAACAGGACACTTTGTCTTTTAACAAATGAGAGAAGAGATGAATACTGTGTGAAACTAATTGTATTTGAAAGGACCACCCATTGCAGAATGTTAAATAGTTCTTTTCTTTAACATTTGCCCCCTTCTCTCCCTTCTTCATGATAAGCAAGACCATCAAAGAGACATCATGGAATCATAATGTCTCCTGATAGGTCTGATTCTTGTAAGAAAAATGCTAGTCGTATCAACACTGACTATGAATTTCGCCTCACCTTGAATTTCATCCGTGTAATTTTGCACTGATTCTAACTAGGACACACGCTAGGCTGCTCTTGGAAGATGAGTAGGTTGAAAGGAAAAGGATCTGTAAAAACAGGTGGAATCGTTTAAAAATCAGTGATCCAAGGGATAGAGTAGAAGGTGGAGATGGTAAGAGATGCAGCTTTACTTGCCACTGATACCGACCAGGGCTCTTGGCCTTCCCCAGTCAATAGAAATTGACTAAGAGGCAAGGCAACAAATTCAGGCAAGGCTTTACTGGGGCCCCTGTTACAGCAGGGGGTAGTGAGAACAAGTAACAGTTTCCCTTGCTGGCTCTCTGGCTGATGGGGGTGGGGGCGAGTGGTTCCTTCCATGGGAGGGAGGGTAGGGGTGTATCCAGGGGTCAGGCCGGAGGGGTGGCTTAGTGGCTTGCCCACCCCTTAGGTGGTGCTGTGTGCAGAAGGTATGTGCAGTACCGTGCTTCTGCTCCCTACACCCTGTTTTTGCCCTAGGCTCTTCAGAAGTGGCAGTTGGGTTTTTTGGTCTCTTTGTATC